TGAACCCAGAAGGCAGAGGTTGCAGTGAGCCAAGACTGCACCATTGCACTCCAGCCTGGATGACAGAGTGAGACTCCATCTCAAAAAAATAAAAAAAGATTACATTCTTTTGCCTTGACCTTGGTAAAGCTGATGACTATGTGCCTTGGTGATGGTCATCTTGTGTAGTATCTTCTAGGGGTTGTCTGTATTTTTTACATTTGTATGTTCTCTTCTCTAACATGTTTGGGAAATTGTTCATGGACTATCCTCAAATATGTTTTCCAAGTTGCTTACTCTCTCTCCTTTTCTTTTGGGAATGTCAATGAATTGTAGATTTGATCTTTTTACATAATCCAATATTTCTCAAAGATTTTATTCATTTTTTAATTCATTTTAAAAATTTTCGTCTGGGTTGATTTGAGGAGCTAGACCACAAGTTCTGCTACTGATGCTTCTAATTTTATTGTAGAATTCTTGAAGTGAATCTTTCAGTTTCAGAAATTCAGTTTGGTTCTTTCTTTCTTTTTCTTTTCTTTTTATTTATTTATTTATTTATTTATTTATTTATTTATTTATTTTTTAAAGACAGAGTCTCTCTTTATTGCCCAGGCTGGAGTGCAGTGGCATGATCTCGGCTCACTGCAACCTCCACCTCCCGGGTTTGACTGATTTTCCTGCTTCAGCCTCCCAAGTAGTTGGGACTACAGACGTGTGCCATCATGCCTGGCTAATTTTTGTATTTTAGTAGAGACAGGGTTTCATCATGTTGGCCAGGCTGGTTTCGAACTCCTGACCTCAAGTAATCCACCCACCTCAGCCTCCTAAAGTGCTAGGATTACAGGCATGAGCCATTGTGCCTGGCTGGTTCTTTCTTAAAATGGTTATTTAATCTTTCAGCTCCTGGATTATTTTACTGGATTCCTTGGATCAACTACCTCTTTAATCCCATTGAGCTGGCCGGGTGCAGTGGCTCACGCCTATAATCCCAGCACTTTGGGAGGCCGAGGCAGGTGGATCATGAGGTCAAGAGATCGAGACCATCCTGGTCAACATGGTGAAACCCTGTCTCTACTAAAAATATAAAAATTAGCTGGGCATGGTGGTGTGTGCCTGTAATCCCAGCTACTCGGGAGGCTGAGGCAGGAGAATTGCTTGAACCCAGGAGGCAGGGGTTGCGGTGAGCCGAGATCGCGCCATTGCACTCCAGCCTGGGTAACAAAAGCGAAACTCCGTCTCAAAAAAAAAAAAAAAAAAAAAAAAAAAAATCCCATTGAGTTTCCTTGCCATCCCGATCTTGAATTTCATTTCCATCATTTCAGTATTCTCAATCTGGCTAACAATCATTTCTGGGGGACTGATGTGTTTGTTTGTAGGTAAGGGAGCACATTGGCTTTTTCAGTTTCCAGAGTTTTTGCATTGATTCTTTCTCATGTGTAAGAGTTAGTGTTCCTTTCCGTTTGCAATAGCAACGACCTGGAATCAACCTAAATGCCCATCAGTGATAGACTAGACAGGGAAAATGTGGTACATATACACCATGGAATACTATGCAGCCATCAAAAACGACGAGTTCATGTCTTTTGTAAGGACATGGATGAACCTGGGAACCATCATTCTCAGCAAACTGACACAAGAACAGAAAATCAAACACCACATGTTCTCACTCATAGGCGGGTGTTGAACAATAAGAACACATGGACACAGGGAGGGGAGCATCAAACACTGGGATCTGTTGAGGGGTGTGGGACTAGGGAAGGGACGGCAGGGGGTGGGGAGGTTGGGGACAGACAACAAGGGGAGAAATGCCTGACGTAAGTGACAGGGGGATGGAGGCAGCAAACCACCCTGGCATGTGTGTACCTATACAACAATCCTGCGAGATCTGCACATGTACCCCAGAACTTAAAGTACAATTTAAAAAAAAAAAGTCTACAGCTTTTTCTATACTAATCATACCTCAATAAAGTGATTTAATTTTTTTTTAAAAAAGAGTTAGTGTTGGTGATGTAAGTTCAATATAGTCCATTGGCTTCATTTTAGAGTGTTTTCAGAGGGTCAGGAGTATGTACAGGATGTTTCTTTGCTGCTTAATCGTAGCCTTAGTTTTCACAGGTGCTGTATATTGGAAAAATATTTTTGTGTTGTATTTTCGGCTGTGATCCAGTCGGTGGCACTTAAAAGTGTTAGCCAGAAGATCAGCTTTTTCTCAGCTTGACAGCTTTAGAGTTTTCCTCAAGTTAGCGGTGGAGCTCTGTGGAGGGTGGGGGAGGGATGACCTCTGCACCTTGTCCATTTCCAGGCCTTGGAAGAGTCCCCTCTGGTTCCATGCCTGCATTTCTTTTATTAGGTGTTCTGGTCCACGGGACTTCCTCATGCAGGGGCCACAGTTGGCAGGCAGGTCATATCCTTTCTGGAATGGCCCTACAGGAGAAGGCACAACCCACTCCTCCACTGGCCTGTGAACCTGGGCATCTCACCTCTTTCAGTGATGCCCCTACTGCTGGGGCACCACCCAAGCCAGCAACAACTGCCGGGCTGGGAGTTGCGGGGATGAGTGGAGTCACCTAATCTGCTGTCTAGGTGCTTCCCGGGGAAACAGAGTTGCCTCCACCCGCAGAGTTCATATAAAAGCAGGACTGCTGGGCTGGAAGCTCTAGCAGGTGCGAGCTGCCTGGTTGTGAGCAGTGGGAGTGGGTGTAGTCACCTGCCCTGCCGTTAGGGTGTTTCCTAGAGGAACAAGAGGCTGTGCTTGTCAGCAGAGTTTAGACAGAAGTGACACCACTGGGCTGGAAGCTCTAGCAAGTCTGGCCTGCCTAGCTACAAGTGGCGGGGATTGGGTGAAGTTGCCTATCCTGTTTTTTGGGTGTTTTCTGGAGGAACAGGAGGCCGCACCTGTTGGTAAAGCACAAACAGAAGGAGGATCAGTGGGCCAGTGGTGGGTGCTGAGCTTTGTCTAGTGATTTAGCATGGAGCAATCTTACTGCCCTCAGGTACCATAACTGCAGCCTCTCTTGGGGCTATGGCCTTGGTGGCTGGTCTGTTCCAGGGTGAAGGCTTCCAGCAGTCCCTGGGAACTTGAGAGTTGCTTCCGCAAAACTCTGGGTGACTCTGCATTAGATTAGCGGTGCGGGGGGTGGGTCAGAGGGATGCTTCTGTTCCAAGGCTTGCACAGGTCCCTGTGAAGACTGTAAACTCCCCAGGGGCTCTCAATCACTTACCCTTTCCCTACACTGGGGAGCTTCTCCTAGCTCCATGCTGATCCCAGATGGGGGGTTGCTGCCCAGCTTCACTCCTCTCTCCTCTCTGTGTCCCTATGCTGCCTTGATGGATGCTGATGCAGTTTCTTAGAGGATCAAATATGTTCCCTCTCCATGACAGCGGCGCGCATGACCTGCTTCTAGTCTGCCATTTTGACCTAACCCTGTACACCCAATTTTAAAATTGATCCTGGCACTTCGTCTGCTCTCAGCAAATGTTTACTGAATAAATGAGTTAACCAGTGCCGTAACTTCCCGTAGCCACCCCTGTTACTGCATAACAAATTACTTAAAATCATAGAGCCTAAAAATAGCAATAAATATGTATTATCTCAGCCAGCTTCTAAGGGTCAAAAATTTGACTTACATGTGAAATCTGAAAGAGTCAAATTTATAGAGCTGGAAAGCAGAATGGTAGTTAGCAGGGTCTGTGGGGAGAGGAAAATGGGGAGACATTAGTCAAGGGTACAGCATTTCAGTTATGCAAGATGAACAAATTCTGGAGACATACTATACAAAAATATGACTATACTTATCATAGTATATTGTATACTTGAAATTTGCTGAGAGGATAGATCTTTTTTTAAATATACATTTACACATTTTATTATTTTTTTATCCCAAAAATACATACAAATGAAAACCTGCTCTTCAAATGCAGCGAGGCCTTTGCCTAACGTTGCCACATGAAAATCAGTATCAGCTCTTTAACACACTATTTACATATATACATACATACACACACTATACGTAAGCAGCTAATACTTTTCTACTTACACATATTCCTCTGGTAGAAAAGTAGGAAACTAGGAAATTCCCGTGCTTTCCAGCCTTGGGAAGGTAAATACAACCTCTCTGAACAATCTTTTAAAGGATGAAATGTGTAGAAACATGTAAACAACACAACCTGCTTTAGACGTATACACGTTATTAAAGTAAGGACCCTGTCACATCAGTAACAGTGTATTTCTCAGAGAAAAAAAAAAAGGAGATAACATTTGAATAAAAACGCAAAACTGAAGTACAGTTAATATGATCAAACTTGTTATGTACATGCTCCATGGAGAAATCAGGAATTCTCTCAAAGAGCAGATCCACCGCCAATTTCAGTCACTTGTGATGCTGAATAGCACACCCATTGGTAGCAACCAGGATCCTTCTGTACAGTCATGGGCTTAAGCAGGGGCCATAAAGCATCTGTTTAAGTTAAACAGTCAATAATGCTTACTGACTACATTCCTGCCCCGAAAACACTAAGTGCAAAATCAACTTCTACGCTCCAGAGCTCAACCAGGTCAAAGCTTTGGGATATACTGGGGTTGTTTGGTGATAATCAAAGCTTAGTAAGATTCTCTGCTCAGGGGTTTGCCCCAAAAGAAAAACGCATGGTCCACAAAGTTTAACATCTGTATAAATAAAGTAACTGTGCAAAGAGAACAAGCCAGGATTTCCCCTTAACCAAGGGTTCATAGTTTCCTAGGCAGCAGTTCTGAAAGCACCAGCTAAAACCACAAGGCTTCTACTAAAAAACGATGTGCTGTAACTGGTGAGACTGTCTTGAAAACAAATGCCCGCAGGTATGTGCCACAGAAAAAAATTTTAACAAAACATTAGTCAGTGTATTTAAATGGTAACACAATCGGGTCAGCGACAGAGGAAAAGAGTTAAGGCAACAAGAAGCATTACAGAGAGCACTGTGGGTCTGAGTCAATCAAAGCCTTCCAAGAAGGAAAACACGTCTCAGTTTGTGTTCTTAGCTTGCTAACTGTCAGACACTTCTTCCTCCTCCTCCTCCTCATCCTCGTCGTCTTTCCTGTCTATTTTAGAAGTGTCTGACGACTCATGGAGCAAGGCGTCTTCTCTGCTACTGAACCCAAATTTGAGTGCATCCTCTTCTTTTAGTTCACAGTATCTCTGGCTCAGTGCGATTGTTGTTTAAGAAGGTCCCGTTGCCTGAGCCAAGGTCACTGAAGCAGGGCTTCGCTCTTCGGCCAATCGTGCCATCGGCACGGGTACATTCCACAAGCCGGTATTGAAAGAGCGCATGCTGCTTTGAACAAGACGGGCGATCGATCGGCATGTCTGCAGTGTGGCGGTGTCCACCCAGTAGGTGTGCGCTCCGTATGTACATGACTGGCAGCACCTCATCATTTTTAAACGGGTAGAGACGTCACCGTTTTCTGGGGATACATGCTTCTTCTGGGGGCTCACTATATTTAATGACTACACCCCGGAAAATGTTGGTGTCCTCAAGAAGCGCCCCCAGGAAGTTCAAAGCTTGGTTTTTCTTTTTTTTTTTTTTTTTAGTTGTTTTTTTTTTGTTTGTTTTTTGTTTTTGTTTGTTTGTTGTTTGTTGTTTGTTTGTTTGTTTGTTTTTAAGATGGGGTTTCACCATGATGGCCAGGCTGGTCTTGAACTCCTGACCTCAGGTGATCCACCCACCTCGGCCTCCCCAAGTGCTAGGATTACAGGCGTGAGCCACCGCGCCCGGCCCTAGCTTGGTTTTTCTTTAACAGGCACCTCTTTTTCTTTGCTGTTGCCACCAGGCCGAGGAGCCAACTCCTGAGACTCACTGCCCCCGCCACCAGCGTCATTCCTCCGGCGGTGCTCTCCGCCTGGCATGACAAAACCCCTGCTCGTCTTCCATGAGCCTGCGGGTTCTGAGGTCAGCGATCCCGTCCCTTGACCCTGCCAGCTCCCAGGCCTCCCGTTAGACGTTCTCCTTCGGCGGGAATGGCCCCGGGGACTGTCCCGGCCGCTGTTCCCACGGTTCCCCGGTCTGGTTCCCACGATCCTCCCGTCCTCTCCCGGGATGATCCTCACGCTCGCGCTTCGCTTTGACTGTTGAGTGGTAAGGACTTCGGGTCCTCCCACTCCGAGCAGACTTGCTTCTTTTCCCTGGGGACTTGTTTTTCTTTTTGGGTGGGGACCGGCTAAGTCCTCGGACTCGGTTCCCACGGTGGCCCGGGTGGCCCGGCTCGCCGGCTACCGCAGAGTGGTCGGGGCGACGGCGGGCGTGGTGGGGGGGCGGCTTCTGGGCGGAGACGCCCCCGCTTCACCCCGCGGCCCGTCCCGGGGCCTTCACCGGCTCCCGCTCCCGTTCGCTCTTCACCGCCTTCATTCTGTGATTTTGGCTGAGCGAAAGAAAATAGATCCGCTGAGCTCCTCTAGCTGAAGGAAAATCGGAGGACAGGTCTTAAGTGTTCTCACCACACGCGCACATACACACGCATAAGAAAATGGTAATTATGTGAAGTAATGACTGTTAATTAGCCTGATTGTCACTGTTATTTCACAATGTATGTTTATCTTAAATCATCAAATCGTATTCCTTAAATATAGACAACTATAATTGTCAATTATACCTCAATAAAGTTGGCGGTAAAAAAAAAAAAAAAAAAAAAAAAAAAAAACTTGGTAGTGGTTTAACTGAGTGATTCTGGCTCAGCATCTCTCTTGAGGAGGTAATCAAGATGTCAGCCAGGGCAACAGTTTTCTGAAGACTTGATTTGGACTGAAGAAACCAGTTCTAAGACGGCCCACTCACATGGCCTGTAAGTTGATGCCAGCTATTGCTAGGAGATATCAGTTCCTTGCTAGACAGATTGTTCCATGGGACTGTTTGAACGACTTCATGACATTGCAGCTAGCTTCTCCTATGGATATTGATCCAACAGAGAAAAAGGCAGAAGTCAAAATTCTTATGACCTAAACTTGCAAGTCAGACTCTGTCATTTTAACAAAATCATACTAATTAAACAAATCAACCCCTTTTTCTCATGGGGAGGGACTGTACAAAGGCATCAATAACATGTGATGGCCGGGCGGGGTGGCTCCCGCCTGTAATCCCATCACTTTGGGAGGCCAAGGCAGGGTGGATCATGAGGTCAAGAGATCGAGACCATCCTGGCCAACATAGTGAAACCCCGTCTCTACTAAAAAAATACAAAAATTAGCTGGGCATGGTGGCGCGTGCCTGTATTCCCAGCTACTCAGGAGGCTGAGGCAGGAGAATTGCTTGAATCTGGGAGGTGGAGGTTGCAGTGAGCCGAGATCACGCCACTGCACTCCAGCCTGGTGCCTAGTGAGAGAGTGAGACTCTGTCTCAAACAAACAAACAAAAAACAACAACAACAACAACATGTGATGAGAATCCCTGGGGGCCATCTTGGAGACCAGCAGCCATACCCCTTTGTGGTTTCAAAACATATCCACAAGTGCCTCTCGTCCAAGAGATGGAGGTTAATTCTCACTCTTTTCAGTGTGGGCTGGACTTAGTGACTAGCTTCTAAACAACGGAGTACGGAAAGGTGACAGTCTGTGACAAAATCTTAGAGCATTATGGATTCCTTCCCCTTCGTACTCTCTTCTTGGATTTTTTTGCTCTGGGGAAAGCCAGATGACACACTGTCCTCAAATTCATGTTTTCCAGGGAAATTATTTAGTTTTGATAAAGATTTGATTCTCAGCTCAATCACCCTATGGAGAGGTCCATGTGGCAGATATAAAGGCCTATTGCCAACAGCCATCCTGACACAGGCTTCCATCCAATGCTCATGAGTAAGCCATCTTTGATATAAACTCTTCGACTCCAGCCAAGTCTTCGAGTAACTGTAATTCTCACCAACAGATTGAGGGCAACTTTATGAAATCCTTGGCAGGAATCACCCGGCTACACTCTCCTGAACTACTTATTCACAGAAACTGTGAGATAGTAAGTGGGTGTTGTTTAAGCCACTAAGCTTTAGTGCCATATTTAATACAGGACTAGAAAAAAATATTTCCCTCTGCATATACCCAGATACCATTCTGGAGAGGAAGTTGGAATATCATCTTGATATCATCTTGGGACAGGAATTTGCTTGGGTCATCTTTATAGAGAATAATTTGCTTAAGGAGATAGGTGGAATCAATAAATCAGACTAAAATTACAGGATAAGTTTAAATCTAATCTTTCACAACTTCACTAACTCCCAATGGGCATGAATTTATGTAGAATTTGAATTTACAGAGAAATTCAAAACAATATTTTCACTTACAGAGAAATTCAAAACAATATTTTCAGCTAGGTGCAGTGGCTCACGCCTGTAATCCTAGCACTTTGGGAGGCCGAGGCGGGTAAATCGCCTGAGGTCAGGAGTTTGAGACCAGCCTAGTCAACATGGTAAAACCCCATCTCTACTAAAAAAATGCAAAACTAAGCTGTGCATGGTTGTGAGTGCCTATAATTCCAGCTATTCAGGAGGCTGAGGCAGGCGAATCACTTGAGCCTGGAAGGCAGAGGTTGGTATGAGCCAAGATCATGCCATTGCACTCCAGCTTGGGTGATACGAGCAAAACTCTATCTCTAAATAAATAAATAAATCTATATTTTCTTTACACATGTAGTATGATGTGAGTGAATTTTTCAATTTTCTACATATTTAAATCACTTAACCTAAAACCTAGCAGGTAATAAGTGCTCAATAAATAGTAATGCTTTTAATATCCATGAAAATAAAAGTTCTATATAACCATACCTTATATTGTTTTTTGTGGTATTGCTTAGACATTAACTTGCTCTTCTCAAATACAGGGGAAACTATGCTGTTAGATTTTATTCTGTGTTCTTCCAAAAATATATATTTATAATCCTAGAACTGTTCTAGGTATTGAGAATGCAATTGATGTACAAGATTGATAAAGCCTTCATGCATTTTGATATTCTCAGAAGGAAATAGTCAATAAATAAGCAAATATGTAAGTAAATATATGAGATAATCTTAGGAAGAAATTTAATTCAATAAAACAATGAAATATTGTGGGGATCTGGAATTAAGAACAGCCACCTTTGGGTTAGGTGGAGAAGCAAAGTCTCTCAGAGGCAATAAGTAACATTTGAACTGAAACCCAGTTGACAGGAGGCAGCTAGCCACAGTGAGGACCTGTGGTAAGACGTTTCCAGAAAAAGAGGATAACAATCATTGAGTAGGAATGAACTGAGCCTGGTGAGCTCAAGAATGGTGAGCAAGAAAGTGATCTAGAAGGGCAATCAATGGGGCAGAGGGGCTTTCAGAGAACATTTAGTCCTACGGATCTCAACTTTGGTGGCAATCCTCCCAAGAAAATAACATTTACTTGTATTTATGAATTTATGTATTTATGTGTCTATGTCTTTATGCATGTATTAATTACATTTCATAAGATGGATTTAAACTATGTTTTACTTGGAAGGTTATGGAGGAAATGAAAGTCTAGTCATTTCAAAGAATGAGATGATTGGGAACACGGTAACCAACAGCTGATTTAAGGCTGATGTTCACAAGGTAACTGGTACATTAGAAACTATGCTTGATGCAATGGAGTTTGCGATGGACTGAGATTGAGGCTTGAGTTTTCCTCCTGGTGGGCGGATCCCAACCTCAGGTGATCTGCCTCCCTTGGCCTCCCAAAGTGCTGGGATTACAGGTATGAGCCACTGCGCCCAGCCCAAATTAGACAAACTTAGACAGTTAAATATACATCTAACAATATGCCCTCTTGTGGCTTTTACAAATTGCAGAGCATTTTGTATGTGTAGGATTCTTATGTTACCTATTGTTTTTTTTTTTTTTTTTTTTTTTTTTTTTTTTTTTTTTTTTGAGACGGAGTTTCGCTCTTGTTACCCAGGCTGGAGTGCAATGGCGCGATCTCGGCTCACCGCAACCTCCGCCTCCTGGGCTCAGGCAATTCTCCTGCCTCAGCCTCCTGAGTAGCTGAGATTACAGGCACGCACCACCATGCCCAGCTAACTTTTTGTACTTTTAGTAGAGATGGGGTTTCACCTTGTTGACCAGGATGGTCTCGATCTCTTTACCTCGTGATCCACCCGCCTCGGCCTCCCAAAGTGCTGGGATTACAGGCTTGAGCCACCGCGCCCGGCCAACTATTGTGATTTTAACATGCAGAATAAAGTTTCACCACAAATACTGTAAGTCACACATGCAGAATTTAATTTTTCATACATTTCTAAATAATTTTTTTTCCTTGAACAAAAGAAAATTTAAGCATTCAAAATGCATTTTTTTGAGGCAGGGAGAATAATATTTCATTATATAGATATTACCTCAAACTATGATACAATGAAAAGCAAAACTTGGGTTAATTAACTAT